TGAATCCTCCTGATGTCCTAAGATACTCACACCTGGATCAGCAGTTGCACTTTGTTCTGGGAGGGAAAATTGTGGCCCCACTTTACATGAAATTCTGTTAAATTCTGCCCAGAACACAAAAACTCTCAGGGCCAGAAAGAGCATGAAAGAGCAGTGATATAATGAAAAATATACTGACTTATACTCTGGGGTAATAAGCCAAATTTCATCTTTCTGTGAATTTAAAAAAAAAAAAAAAAAAAAAAGTTTCCCAGGTTATTAGGAGTGAGAGCAAAAGGGACAGACTGATTCAATTCACCATTCTATGATTCCATTATATGCCTTAGAAACTTAAAAAAACTACAGCTACAGATTTTGTATCTTATTCACCTACCTCACTGCCCTATTTTTCTAACTGCTGTATTTTCTCTGATTGTCAAAATTTGCACAGTCCCTTTGTGGACTTCTGGGGCACACAAAAGCATGCACTTATTTTGACCATATTTTAGACACACTTACCCGCGTTTTGTATGGACACATACAAAAAATCCAAAACACCACTCTCAACAAAAAGTGCAGAAAACCCCCTCTTATTCCTCTTTTCTTGAATATGTATTCTAACAGGAATATTTGATTCATAATGTCACAGAAAACAAACAAACAAACAAAAAAAAAAAAAAAACAAAACCAACAGAAATCTGCCTGATGCTCTCTTACTGAAAAGACACTAGTTATCATCCTTTAATAAGCATACAGGTTCCTGCTAATCCATTTCTAACAATTGTTTAAAAATATAGAGGACTCTTCACATTCCTATAAAAATACACAGTTCTAGACAGATTTTTTTTCAGTAAATCCAGAAAGAAGGCAAACTTCTGAAATGCATCACTCTCCCACTCCCAATGCACATTACAAATCAATATTAATTCTGTGTGTTTTTCCCAGCACATCTTCTGCACGGTGTTCAAACAGCTTTTAATGAATCCTGTACTCTGTACTTATTCACTATGTCTTTCTTTGTATTTCCAGAAAGGGCCACAAGAAAGAAAATTACAGCAGACAAAAATACAAGGTGTGTTAGGATGAGATAAGTTACTTTCAGAAAAGCAATTTCAATTATTACTAACAGTCTGTTCCAATGTTGCTCTGCAAGCTTCAAAGAGTACTTCTAAGAGCAAAGACGTTTTTCCCACTGTCAGCAATTGTAGTTGTGCAGGAATTAGCTGATATGAACCACCATAGAAATGAAAATAGCATTTAGACTGGGAGTGCAAAAGAAAATGAGATGCTTTGTTACCTAAATTAGTTGAATTAAATTTTCATTGGCCTTGCTGAATATTAATCACCCTCACAGTTTGTCCTCATATTGCAACCAAAATCTTCTCTGGGTCTCATAGCATGTCTACCTCAAATCCCTCTCCTTTAACATCTGTTTAGAATTGTAATACCCGAATCAAGATGTTTAAGTTTAAACGAGACATTATAAAGGAAAAAGGAATGATATGCCAACAGTAACTGTAGTATTTATCATTGTATTTTACCATTCAATCACTCCTTTCACATTAGATTTCCACAGGAAAAGTTAAACTCCAAGCATTAAAGTGTCTTCCTAAATACAAAGTTTTTATTTTTTCTGCTTAATTAAAAGAGCAAAGAACACTAAACAAACAAGTCAACTCTTAACCTAAACATCTTGTCCTTTGTGGTCCAATCTAAAGTTTGCAATACCTGAATAGTGCACCTTACAACTGGGAAGTTCAATGACATTTACATTTCTTTTAGTTATTTAAAAATAGTGAAATATAATTTCATTGTGTATTTTTTTATATTTATAGGTTTGTAAATTATAGAATTTAGCATCTTTTTCAGTCCACAGTTATGGGGCAAAATCCAAAATTGTACTTAATTATTTCTCAGTATGAATCTTAGGAAAGTGTTAAAACTTAATAAGCTGCAGGAATAAGAGATGCTATCTACCACTTCTGCAGAAGAGAGCATTGGGTCCAAGTGCTGATTAGAAGCTATGTTCTGTTAAGACTATTTGTTTTCTAACAGACTGAAAAAGAAGTTAGCTGGGTGCATTTCTTCAAAATTGAAATACATTTCTACTAGGTAATTTTCTTCATCAGCTCATTTCATTACAATATTTTGTAAAATCAACTGATCAGGTTTGGACTGTGCCTGGGTCTTGCAGTATATCATCAGAAAGAAACAAAACAGAAAATCTCCTCTGCCTGCATCACTTTAAAGCTAGCTGGTTTTCCAGTCTGGGTAGGAATTATTGTCTTTATCACTGTTACATGTATACTTGTGCTCTCCTAACCCGTAATCATGAATCAGTCAATTAAATCTTAGCACACCATGTTTCTGTGAAACTACTATATTTTTAAAGATACATATTAATTTCTAGACATGTGCCTCCACCTCATTTGTTTTCACATACAGCAGGGTGGCAGATCCATACATTTTTTAAATGCATCTTGTGTTTTAGACTGTTTACATTTCTTCATGATGAATCAGAGCAGCTGGGCTACACCCCAGTCAATACATCTTAGAGAATCTTAAACTGTCATGAATGAAAAGATGATTATTCCCTGCCACAGGGAAATATTCCTATATCATAAATTCAATATAGCTGTGTCTGGGCCAACTCATCCTTCCTGGTCAGTAAGGTCCTTCAAACAAAGGTGATAACATTTTTTACAACCACAGCAACTCTTCTAATGCTATTAGAAACCAACACCATACAAAGTATTTAAAAGCTACATATTATCACAGCAAAGTGTGTCTCTTGCTGACATAAAAAGGAGCTGCACAGCGAAAGTTCTTCAAAGGCTTTGAAGATGTACAACATTGTAATAGTTGTTAAAAAGATCATGAACTTGTATGCCATCTCACGAGTCCTTTATAAATGAATGCCTTTATTCCAACTCTCCATGTTAGACTTTCACCCAGCTGATACCATGCACAGTGTCACACCAGCAATGTCTTTAGCTGTGTCTCACTGATATCGATCACTCTCTTGCCTTTTTAGGACACTAGATAACAACCTGGCTTTCTTCCCTAGAAGAGTTTTTTCACATTTACATTAATATGATAAAAGAAAATATAGAGAAAAACCAGAATTATTCAACAGTTAAAAGTGTTGACAAAAAATCATGACTTTCGATGATATTGAAAAAACACCTGTAGCATTCCCATTCTTAACAGATCCTTCTCCTCTCAGTCATACATAACTGACAGAACGCACACTGTAGTTACTTAGATGCAGTACCAATAACAAAACATTCATATGATTTATGTTAACTTTCTAAGTTAGCATAACCTTCTATGAGCAGGTGTATGACTGAATACATTCCCTTCTTGTATACGTTTAAAGACAAGGCACATGTAATCATTTCATCTAATGTTTTGAATGACACAGATGTGCACTCTCATGTAGTAATTTCTCCACTTTTAAATTTCATTAACTTGTTATAAAACTAGAAAAAATATTTTAACATATAAATCTATACATTCAGACTGCATTTAAAGGCTAAGAGGGATATAAAATCCCAAATATCGCAAATTAGCAAATTTCTACAGCTACTCTCACTCTGGCTTAGATAGCTCATCTGATAAACAGCTTAATTTCTCTTTCCTTGATTTCTCATACTTGATTCTTGTTTTATTTTTCACTGAATTTAAGCCTAAATTTGTCTTTCAACTTTAGGTTAGATTTTGCCTTCTTCTATGAGAGGTCACTGAAATAAACATTTTAATTTCACCATCCTTCCCGCCGAATCATTCAGTTCAAACAAAATCTCTTTTTGTTAGGTGTAAATTAATAAAACAGCATTAAAAATAAGGACATAATCCTCACTGTTGTTTTATAAATTGAATAGTAATGAATGACATGATCAAGTAGAGCTGTGAAATTCTAAAATAAAGAATCTTGGCCCTTGTTCCCTACAGAGAAATACATCTTTGTTTTGATACTGTTAAGTGGTGAATTTAGATTATATTATTGGACTGACTCATTATAAAATATTTCCACCACTATAATTATAATTTTTGTTTCAACAAATAGCACATAAATAAATTGTACTAGTTTTTATGGACTGTGGTTGTTTAAGAACAGAAGAATATTTTGTACACATATCCAAATACATGGTTTTGAGACCTGCTGAAATATTACAACTCAGACTGAAGTAATTGTCAAATAACTAGTGGTTTTTGTTTGATTGTTCATTGTTGCTGAAATTTAAAATAACATTTATATATTCTGGTGGTAAAAATCAAAATCACTATATTTCGATGAGAAGTGGCCTGAACCTTGCATCAATTCTCTAATCTCCACCAGCATCATTTTTAAAATGTTAAGTCTGTTTTCTGAGAAGAATCTGTAAGTACCATTCAAATGCTGCAGTTATATTTCCCTCATTTTGAAGTTTAAAAGTTTGGGTTCTTTTCCTATAATTTCCCTACTTCAAATCTTAAACTTCTTGCTTTCCCACCAGCCCAGTTTTCTTCTTTAGGTTTAGAAACAAAGCAAAATAATAAGAATGAAAAAAAAAAAAAAAATTATGCCAGACAACAGGTATAGCAAGACCACAAGAACATATGTTTTAAATGAGTAGCTTACAATTTTCCTAAAGGAATTTTAAAAATTAGAGACGATGTTGGTATGAAGAGCAAAGTGTATAAAATATTAGGAAAAATGAGACAATCTGAAAATCAGTCGGGAGCATAATAATACAACCTAGCTGTTCAGGTACCATTTAACTGGATTCACCAACTCTAGTAATTGATTGCTAGATACCATTCTTCTAAGAAAATGCTTCTAGTTTTGCTACAGCACTTATAAATGGTGACATAAATGTGTTATAATCTTTAAAGGAGCATCAGACATTAGATAAAAATGCTTTAATAGAAAAGGAAAATGATAGAGAAGTAATTTTAAAAATTGTTATTTGCCTGAGACAACCCAAACACTTAATTGGAGGTGAATGAAAACTATGAAAATATGAGAAGTTACTTACTAGTTGATGACTAACCAAGAGCTTAGAAGTATATTTTCTGTCAAACACTCTTGCAAGTCTCCACCAAAGATGTGAGAAGCCTGATAATGCAGCAGCTTTCACTGAAACAGAACAAGAAAGTTTTGAACATAATCAGATAATAACGTTTTTGTTCGCATGATACTTAAAAAAACAGACAGCAGCATAGGCATTGGACTGTCCCTTGCAGCAGGATATGAAGATGTTAAGATGTTCATCCTGGTAAACTTAGGAAGTCAGTACTACAGTAATGTATGACTTTTTATTTTTACTCAGCTGTTCAAAATTGCAAGTTTTATGGAAATAATTAAATATACAGCAGTGGTATTTTCAAGACTTGTAACTACCTTGGGAGTAATTAATGATTTCATATGTCATGTTAAATTTAGGAAAATGAGCTAATTTGTAAACCTTTTGATTTTATAACAGAGATTAATTATTATAATAGAGAAATAAGGAAGTATTACTTCTGTAAAAAAACTGTTCAGAACACAAAAAAAATATTCAAACAAAAATAATCTAGTCACAACCTTGCACAAATTTAGAACAAAATCTGTTTTAGAGAATACTTTTCTTCATTTATATACATTAATTACTCACCAATCATTCTCAAATATGCACTATATTGATATAATCTCATTAAATATTTGACTTTTCATAAATATCATCACATACCTAATATCCTAGTCTAATGATCCTAATGAACATGAATAAGTCAACCAATAAAAAGTTAAATAATGGTATAGTAGACTGTCCTGGTTGGGGCTGGACTCGAGCTCCTGTTGGTCTGGCAGCGGGAGGAGCTGCAGCACACTGAGACCCCAGGGGCTCCCCAGGCCCCAGAGCCCTCACCTGTGTGCGGGGGCAGGGGGAGCACAGCTGGAGGGCTGGGCCCGGATTGGCCGATAGTCCATGTCATGTGACACTGTGCTCACTATATAAAGGCAGGAGTGGACAGGGAGGGGCTCTCACTTTTGGGAGTGTGGCTGTGGGGCCTTTGTGTTTGGGATCGCTGGCCCGGAGCAGGTGGGTGTTGGTCAGCAGGTGGTGAGCAGCTGTATTGTCCATTATCTGTTGATACTGCTGTCAGTGTATTATTCTGTTACTATTATTAAACTGCTTTTATCTCAACCCGCGAGTCTCCCTTTGCCCCTCCGATTTCCTCCCCATTCCCAAGTGGGGGGAGGGTGGGTGAATGGCTGTGTGGCATTTAGCTGCTGACCAGGCTCAAACCATGACATAGATCACTAAGAAATATTTTTTGCATTATTCCTGTAAGCACCCTATCAGAAAATCCAATGACATATATGCAGATTCTTAGTTAATATGAAACCATAAACAGAATTTAGGTATACCATGTAAAAACTGAAAATAAACTTACTTATTTGATTTTTTTTTTTTTACTTAATCAGCTTTAATGTCTATAGATCTATGACACTGGAAGAGTATGTCATATACGGAAGACTAATGAGTTTTTTTTTTAAAAAGCATGTAAGATAGATCCTCTCTCACTGTACTGTAAACTATACTAGTAAAACATAATTTTATTTGAACTTCATTTACAGAGAAGCTTTTTTAGCTTTCTTAAAATGCATTGTTCACTAAGCTACTCATGAATCATTCATAATAAGAAACATGAAAACCACAAGCAAGCCTAGCCCTCTCCTCCACATGTAAGTGTTTTGGTTTTTCCCCACAAGAAGATACCATCTCCCAAGTCAAGAAACCTTGCTTTTGACAGGAAAGTCCTAAAATATACCCAAAAGTCCTCAAAAAAGTGTTTGGCTCAAAGTATTAGCAAGAGTTACAGAAATGGCTCTACAATTATATCATTTTTACTGCTCCCCATTTGCCTCCTTGTAATATAACTGGTAAGTATCAGAGATCTCCAGTCACCTCAGAGAAACTACAAACAATAGCAGCTAGATTTTACCAAAACCAACAAAAATACTGCACTACCCATGTTTCACAGTGTAAATCAATTACAGATAAAGTGTCAGCTGCCCCTGAACTAGGCTACTGATTTTTGGTTAGCATCTGGGATGTCATCAATGACCTGATTTTTTGAACATAGGCTTACAATTCTTCCATACAAGAGAAACAGTTTTGTTGAATATACTGTTCAGAATTATTATAAAGTTCACAGTCCCATTTGTTCCATTTTGTTTTCACACTCTCTTCTTCAGAATTAGGAAATTTCTTCATTGCTAAATTCTCTGGTTTCATCTTTGCTAACTTTTTCTGGGTCACTTCCACTGATCTCACCCTTAACAATTCTTTTGCAGTCACAGAGCAAGAAGATAGATTTGCTTTCAATATCCCACTGGGATAATTGGTCTCTGGTTAGTTTTAGAGAAACTGTCATTGATAGCTTTACGCATTATATTTCCAGTAGGAATGTCAGCAGTTTTGCTCTTTGTATGCATGATCCTGATGTGTTTCTTACTAGTATTAAGGTTCTGGTTATACACTGAGATATGTAGAAGTCTTTATTATTATTATTGCCATACTAATCCCCAACTGCTCTTGTAATTCCTAATTCATTCTGTCACTTTTTCTGCTTCTGGTTTCAGAGCTTCTTTCCTCTGAACTACAGGATTCACATTCAGTGGAACACAAAACAATACGTTAAGTCACTGTATTTTTTTAATTATTTATTTCTATTGATGTATTTTCTTAAGATCTCAGATTTGCCCATGAGTTTTATTACTCCTATACACTATTTCCTGGAAATCCAAGATCCAACTTTTCTTCTTGATGCAATGTGTTATTAATTACCTAGTATTAGACTGATTGTGATCTGTAAGAGCCCAAATTTTTCTGGGCTTGTAAATGTTTAGCTCAATGACATAAAAAATAAGCCCAACATGGATAATAAATTCCAACAAGCATCATAATAGAAAAAAAATGTGAGTACATGAGAAATTAGTTTTGGTTGTACAGGCAAATAGACATTAGTGGTCAGCCACCATCTTTTTTTAGACAGACATTCAAAGCCAGAAAATTTTGTGGGTGAAATTGGCTAAATATAGGTATCTAATTACATCCAAATGGGACAGTCAGATATTAAACTGGATCCTACAATAGACTTTCTGAATCAGTCTTCTGGTCATGCGTAAATATCACAGGACATCTAACATGACATTAGGACTGCTAAATCCCACACAACTATAGTGAGATGTTTTCAAACTAGATTTGTGTACAGGCAGCTAAAACATTAAAACTTTTCATTAAGATGCATCTGTTGAGATCAGTCCCAAGTATGCTAAGAATAGTGAACTGAAATCACTAGAAGAGAATCTGTCCTCTTCAGGGGATGGCTCTTGAAGGTGGAGTATCACCAGACTGTCTAGAGGGGATTCAGAAATGGCAGTGAAATGCTTGAACAGAAGAATTTCTTTAGGAAAAACAAAACAAAACAAAACAAACAAACAAAAAAAACCAAACCAAAACAAAAAACAAAACACCAAGGGATATCAGGATAGCAAGCTTGATTTCCCAGATTGATCTCCCCTTGATCACTCAGCTAAATAATATGTTTAGACCTATTGCCAGCTCTGTACTCTGCTTGTCCAATCTCCCACAGTGGCAAAGAATGCAGATCTCCAACTGCAGGGTGATCTGCACTTGCCCTTTAGAGAGTATGTCACACAACAAGATTGCCTTAGACATATCAGAGTTCAATAAAATATACAAAACAACTGATGGCCTGAGAGGACGTATGCAATCATAGAATTTGTATCTACTCCCTCTTCATTGGCTTTGAAGTAATACATATTTGAAGATATTCTTGCTCCTAGAGTTCTTAATCTTAAAGGGAGTACCTAATTCTGGAGAAGACAGTTTAATTACAGAGAACTCACATTCCAGAATTATTTAGCAGTATTCATTAAGTAAGTGAGATTAATAGTACAAGACACACAATAGATTTTTTTTTGGTGTTGAAAAAACTTACCATAATTTCAAAGAAAATACCTCAAATCTTACCTCGCACAAACAAAACAACTCTTGCCATCTTGCAAATTTACTCATCAAGCAGTGCAATGTAATGTATTCCAAAACTGCTGGTAAGGCAAGGTCAGAAGCAAATGATACTTTTTGTGGTGGCAAATTCATATTTCTGTCCATAAACATTATTTACCTTTAGTGAGTTTCACCTCTAACCATGTGGCCCTGTAATCCAGTACTGTCACTGCTATTAACAGGCCATAACATCTCCATAGATTTCAGGACACTTGAGTTTTGATCACATGCATTCTCATGACTGCCACTGTGATTTTAAGCAAATGCTACCATGTGCACTAAAGCATGTAAGCACAAGCCTACACTGAAGCATGTGGGTGCCTACCACAGAAGGGACTGCTAGCATACTCAGCATTATCTATGGGGTGAACTTAGTTTCAGCAGCAGATGATTCAGAAGTTTAAATACAGGCTCATATTAAGGGATTTGACTAAAAAGCAGAGTTGTCACCTTGTTAGTAATATTACGAAGCGTTTCAAAGGCTTCTGGTCTCATTTCTATATCACATGTGTAACTATGAAAAAGTCAGCAAGGACCAAATAAAAATCCCCAAAAAATTGACAGGTATATCTACTAATGCTTTACTAGAGCTTTTGTTTCTATCATCTCAGAAGTGAGTCATCTATTAAATCAACATTAGAACTCAAATCTCATTTAGAGGTCTTTGTTTCATAGCTGAGATCTGAATAGGCCAGAATATAAGCTGCTGTATCTGTGGGGCATATGAAGGAATTCTCCGTATCTTTCTAGCATTAAAATTTTGTACAAAGCACCTACTGCCACTTTATAAACTTTCAGTGTCAAAGGCTTACCAAAGCAAAAACTCTCTACAATGGATTTCTACATTCATTACCTTTTAACTCCCCTTCAAGGTAATTATTTTGTGTGGGCAATACTGTCTGCTTGAGATCTTAAATAGTTCAGAAATGGTGCTGTGTACAGACAGCTCAACAATCAGAACAGGACAAAGCAGGAGTGCTCAGGAAGCTTGATGGAATATCTGGATTGATTTTGTTTGTTTGTTTTTAAAAGAATTTCAAGAACAGAGGAATAATACTGA